AACCTGTCCTACAAGAGAGGATCTAAGCCACGCCCCTGAGGTACCTTGCAGATCAAATTATCTATCAATGTGCCTGTCAGTCAATTCTTGACTGCCCCTACTCTGATCAAACATTTCTAATTGTGCAAATCTAGTTTACAGCCAGTCTCACTGACAGGTGTGAAGCGCCAGTCCAGGGGACACCGTCATGTCTGGAGTTTCCTACTTGAACACGTTAACTCCCCTGATCTGGCCTGTTCAAAGGGCCCAGTCTAGCCGGTTATGTAACTTTTGACACTAGGGTCTCTCGTCTGCAGTTCAAGTTGCCTGCTCCTGAGGGTCTTTGGTCTGGAGATAATTATATGACACTTCAGTTCTACAATCAAACCCTACAACCACTATGTCTGAATTTTCCCAGGTAGACCAGCTGGCTATATTGGGTAATCCGAATGTTATATAATATTAAACAAAGACTAGCTGCTTTGTCTGGGCTAAGGGCTGGAAACAATCTGAAATCCCACATGGTTTTAAGTTATATTTGGGCGTAATGCCTAGTAAATATAATTCTTTGTCTCTCTATGACCCTAAGAAATTATTAAACATAATAACTTCTGAAGCCAATGAGTTCATTTCGTTACGAGTGCTTTGGTGATAGTCTTCACTAATCAAAAATATTTAAATAAAATATGTATACATATATATTGTCACTGTCTTGTCTCGCAACACCAAGATCAAAATATATAAAATGTTGATAAGACCAAACGTTTTACGTGCCTCTGAAACTTTGGATCACAACTAAAAGAGATAAAACCTTATTAGGAGTTTTTGAAAACAGAGTCTTACGACGAATCTTTGAACCCATCAAAGATGCAAACAGTGGGAAATAGAAAGTGAGAAGCAACAATGAAATTCATAATCTGTTTAAATCACCATTGATCACTGACATCATGAGAGCTAATGGACTGAAATAGTTGGGGAAAATTGAAAGAATGTCAGATGACAAAGAAGTTAAAAACTGTATACCAAGGGAGATAAATGGTCGTAGACCACGAGGCAGACCAAGAAGATGATGGAGAGATAATAATGTCCAGACAGATCTGCAAACACTTGGTGTCACCAAGTGGAAAGAGAAGGCCAACCAGAGAGATGAATGGAGGCGGGTCATATCTGCAGCGATGAACCTCAAGAGCTCAGAATGCTAAAGAAAAAGAAGTATCTGTTTCAGTTATTTTGGGTTTATGTATGTAGTTCTTAATCTGTAAATGTCTTCTTGTTCTGTTTCTCTGCTTATTCCTAAGTACAGCTAATCAATGTTTTTTTTTAAATCTGTGGTAATCTTTAGTTCCAAGACCCTTCATAGAAAATACAGTTATTTTGAGTACAGGGCAGAAATCTGATAGCAGGTAATATATATATATATATATTTTTTTTTAAACATGTGTTATCATTTGTTATATTTGAATATATGTTGCAAATAGTTTATTAACCTCTGTCATCTAATTAGAATGTAGTCCTGTTTTAGATATGTACCAACATTTATGTTGTGGCCTTAGAAACATGAACATGCCAGAGGTAGTAAGGCCATCCATGTCTTGCAGCAGTATATGTTGAAAGGTCAGAGAGATCTAGGGAGGGCTGTAGATGTCAGATCTGTGGGGCAGTAAAGCAAACAGCTGTTCTCCTATGAGAATTGGGTCTAGCCTTTGATTACTTGTACAGCTGAAGCTTAAGTTCCTTGACCAGAAAAACCATGCTACAGTAGACTATTCTGCATGCCTGAACTGAACAAAACAAAAACGGATCCAGAGGAGACATCTATCTATAAACAAAAACACCAAGCGTAAAGTGTATCTACATGCTAATGGGATGAATGGCTGTGGCAAGTGAGGAACATCTGGTTGATGGAAGGGCAGCACTAGGCATATGGACTCCTTCAGGACAACCCCTGCCTCTTCCCTAGCAAGCATGCAATACTAGGGAGCCATTTACTTCCTGCAATGAATTAATTTGTCTGGTTTTTGTACTTAAAAATTAAAGAGACTATGGAGTGCATGTCCTGAGCTTGATATAATATTTAGCTGGCAATGGAGACAGCGAGAAGAGGAGAAGATGAGGAAGTGGAGAAAGAAAACATAGAAATAGGAGAGCAGGAGCCCAGTCAGGAAAAAAAAAACAACCTTGGATTCAAGCAGGTTAGAGTGGGTTGCAGGAATTGTTTAGCGCTAAGCAAAAAGGGCTTATACTGGAGAGGCTGATTTATGATTCTGATATTGTCTTGCTTTAAGAATAGATAGATTGAGTGCCCTGGATATATCGGTTGCATAAATCCTACTTGACAGGGGAGACATGAGCAGTGAATGCTGGTGAAGAGTGAAGCATGTTGTACTTGACCTGGGCCAATATCGCAGTATTGCAAAGAACTCACTCACATTCAAGTCTTCATCACTCATATTCTTCATTTGAGCATACCTGTCCCTGTCTGTCCTTTTATGTTTTTAAATATACAGTTTAAATCCTCCACCGGAATGATAGCCTGATAGCATTGTTCATTTATCGTATTCAGTAGAACATCTCTGACTGAAGTTCTGTTCCCTATCATAAGGATCTATTTGTGATATAAATCTGTACAAAAATGCTTCCCATTTCTCACTGTCTGTTGTCATACTATTATCTCTTTATTGTGATAGGCTTGTTGTGATAGTCTGATCCTTTCTCTGCATCTTTGCAGCTTCCAGAATCTTCCCACTGATTGATCAGCTCCAATTTTGTTCATAAAATATTTCCATTTAGACTTCTTTTTGCATCTACTGCACACTGCTTCTAGTGTCTCTTTTCCAACCCTTTCTGCTTTCTCTGCCTCCTTCATTAACCTTTGAGGTGTCTTTCACACTTTTTGTGTGTGTTTTACAACTGCTCTCTTTGCATTCTATGCCTGTTCCACTTCTGGTTTCCCCCACTGAGGCTGCACAAAAACAGAGCTTGTGGTTCTGTTGCACACCTTCTGTAAAAAGTCATCCAGGACTGGTGTTAGTCCTCTCATACAAGTCGGTTCTCCTTGCAATTACAGTCGCTACTTGGACGGCGACGGCCGCTTAGTAGGAGTTCAGTCTCCTGGCTGCAGTGCAGTTACGGAGTGGACAAGGCACGAATCACAAAACAAATTGAGTTCAACATGGCTTCTAGACCACGCGCTCCGACTCACATTAGCGACCGTGTTCGGTAAGTACTCGACGTTACATGTGTTACCCTAACCCTAACCCAAACCCTAACCCAAACCCTAACCCTAACCCTAACCCTTAACCCTACCCCTAGTCCTAATTATGTCATTTGTTTCGTTCCCTCTTTTCCACTCGGTAATTGCACTGCAGCCAGGAGACTGAACTCCGACAAAGCGACCGTCGCCGTCCAACTAGCGACCGTTATTGCAAGGAGAGCCCAAAAGTCTTATATATTCTGATTGCCATGATCTTGGTAGTTTTAAAAATCAAGAATGAGCCTGGTAGATGGTCACTCCCATGATCACCTGGAACACTGCATTTTGAGTCTAGTGCTGATGACTAGGTAACATTCTTAATCAGTGTCTGTGTCTGCTTTATCAGGTCTCAGACTATTCTGGTTGGCCATCATTTATACAGACCATGTCTGCATCCACCTTAGCTTCTCCTCCACCCTGCCCCCCTCCCCTTCTCAGTGCTGTCCCATGCTGTTTCACACATTGAAATCATCAGAAATAAGAAGCCTTCTCACCAGGAATTTCTTCTGAATCTTCGAGCAATTGTTTTTTCTGCTAGGAAAAGTCCACAGCAGCCTGCACATGTATTGTAATTAAAACCTCAGTTATATGCTGGTTTTGCACATAGTATTTTTCGTGTTACCAAACTTCATGGGTTCATATTAGCTGTTTCCTTTAAATTCACAGTCCTGGTCCAAAAAGCCCTTCAAGAAAAATACAAGATACTTTGGTGAGTTTTTGTTTTGCTTAAAGAAACTTAATTTGGAATATTACAAAAGAATGTTACATGGTATGTTTCTAAACATATCATGCCACTTGGGATGTAAAGTTAATCCACATTCTGTGGTGCTGCAACAGGACCAGGGCTCAGACTGGTCAAGATCTCTTCACATTTTTAGGTCATTCTAGAAGCCTGTGCCCTGTCAGGGTCCTGGTCAGCATAGATAGGATCAGCATTTCTTTCAGTCAGAGTGCATGTGCTTGAGAGGCACATATATAGATCTGATCTTACAAACAAATGTTAACACAACACTTCAGTCCTGGAACAAAGTTCAGTCATGGAAAAACAGCCAGGACTTTCGGCCAAAGTTCACACCTGTCCGGTAGGATTTATATAACTAAGGCATCCAGGACACTCATATCTATATATATTTTATTCCTGCAGCATGATGATATCAGAGTTATAAATCAGTCTCTCCAGTACGTTGCCTCTCTGCTTGTCACTACGGCAGTTCCAGTAACCCACTCTAATATGCTTTAATCCCAGACACCCCGTTTTTGGCCTGACTTCCAGGCTCCTGCTCTCCTATTTTTATGCCTTCTCTCTCCATTTACTCATCATCTCCTCTTCTGAACTGGTAAGGGTTTGATTTAAGCGATGAAAACCTATACAACACACAAACTCTTGGCTTTGAAATAATCAGGGTAACTAGCGCCGTCATACTGGAAATGGAACAATATTTTTATTATATTGCTGGGGCAGTAAAAGTTTCACCAGCTCTTTATTATTTTCAGTCAAATATTATAGTATGAAAGCTAATGAGCCAGGGCATTTCTGCGCCACTCCGATTCCTTATAATTAATGGGTGTCTTTTCTTTAAAAAAAATAGTTGTGTGATTTGATGGGTTTAGTTTATAAACAATTTCTTTTTTTATTGCACACTAGTACCTCCATCACTGTTTCAGTCGTCACCAGTACATGTGTCTTCAGATTATTGATTTGTTTATTATATATCATTATCTGAGGCAGCTGAACTTCTTTGAACTAATAAAACTAACTGTATTTCAGGAAGTTCCTAATAATATAAGCAAGTCTAGGACTGTCCGCTTCCATAAATTGTTTAAATCAACTCCAGTCGATGAATACCCAGTTGAATGTAAGTTTGCATCTATTTTCATTAATTACGTGAGAATAATATTTTATTAGGAATAAAACTCTTAACCACACTTTGCTTCATTTCTTCTGCTTCAGTATAGAAAAGCATGTATCAGGCATGGGTTACCCTATTTGGTCCCAACACTCTGCGAGTGGGGCCAATTTTAAGAGACATCTGAAACTTTCTGCCACCAATTAGGACTTTAGAGCATCAGACATTTAAGATTTTAATGTTATGCCATAGAAAATTTAAGTCTAATCAGTCGACTGATAGTGGCAGATTGTCATGGTTTATTTCAACGCAGTGGTGACAATGCTGAGGGTTGACAAAGGATGTACGAAGACAGGACAGTACAGAGAGATGCTGCCTGCAGGAGATGTTACTTGTCTAAGCTGCGAGCAAATCTCTTGGTTTAGGATAGTCTCAGCAGTTCAGTAGTTCTTTCACTCGACCAACGTTTTAACCAAGGGTTGTCATTTTGTAGTATATTCAGCCAGTGATCTTTACTCATATTCCAAATGAGTTTTGATAGATGTTATCACCCATGCATTGGGGGTGAGTTTGATTAGAGCCAGAGGATTTCTGGGCATTGCATCTCTTGGGACCATCAACCCTTAAGATCCCCTGCCAGCTTGGTTTATGCTTTTTTGAGCCATTTATCAGGTGATAAGGATCTGAAAACCAGCTCAGAGCAAGCTGGCGTCCGAGGTGATGTACAGAGTACTCGTTATACACATCACAACTGCTTTAACTTTCCCTTACACCTCTGACTGAAATCACCTCGCCATTGCCTAATTTTCTCATTACCTATAAAACAAATGTATTTAAGTAACATATATATTTGCATAAAAATGTAGTGCAAGAATAAATGAGTCATTTATGATAACATGTATCTATGGTAATACTGTTTTCCAAATGATTTTTTATCGTCTCAACACATTTTCTATTATCTGTAGTTGTTATAATAATATTTCTTATGTATCCAGTTCTAATTTCTGTACACATTTCTACTGTTTATTATTCCTTCAGATGTTGACTTGAATCTGATGACATCTCCACAGTTTGTTTTGAATCAGTGTATTTCAATAGCATCTTCTCTGCTAATTTATGTTGTTACACTCATATAACAAATGTTAAGCTTAATATTTTATTCATCTTAGTTACATTCATTCACTTTAGCTTTTTTTGACAGATACTATCTTAGAATATATGCTGTGTACCAAGTCTGAAGATTACTTCTTGCTCATTCTGGGCAGCTCATACTATGCATCATCTTTCTTATGGCGTTGATGCCTTGTTTTCCACCCATACTTTTGTTTTATTTTTCTGCAAGAACAGGCTTGTTTATTATTCTACCATCAGGAACTCCCCTTTTCCTGTCTTGTCCATAATATCATTAGAGTGAACAGTAGATATCAAGTTAAGTTTCCTTGTGTCATGCCAGGTAACGGCCAACATGCCTTTATCTTCTGTTATTCAAAACACAAGTGTTGCGCGCTGATTTGGGTAAAGTGTGATATTGTGTGAAGGGACAGTGGTATGCCAGTACTTTCTGTAAGTTCACGGGAGGAATAGTGTCAACATGGTCCGAGTATTGAGAGGAGACCAGTGAAAATGTCTATGCATGAACAAGGCGTGCACACACGAGAAAAAGTGGACGCGTGGGTTACTATGTGGGGGGCTGAAAGCATGGCTAACGAGATAAACAGAGAAAGTGTGAATTAAGTGACAGCGTGGTTCTCAAGTAACATCAGCCACCCGCATAAGTGTGATCCTCGAGAACGCCCATGTGAGCGTGAGTCTCGAGAACACCCACAGGATCATGATTCACTAGAACGCCCATATGAGCGTGCCTCTCGTGTAGACATAATCCACCTACACGGATTTGAGGGGATAAATTGGAGGGCTGAGTAGCCACTCGGGGGCAATCGAGAAGCAGTCGAGAGAGAAGCGAGAAGAGAGAGAGAGAGAGAAAGCGAGAGTCAGAGACCAAGTCAGGGTCCGTGATATCTCTCGCGAGTCTAACAGACAAAAATACAGTACGACTATCAGGCATTTAGGTCTGAGTGAGTGTCGAGGTTGCGGTACTGAACGAAGATATGGTCCCACTGGCAAAGTAAGTCCAGGGGACGGAAGGCTCCAGTAGTACCTGTTCTGGGTGGCGACGTAGTGAAACGTAGGAGGACCACTACTGAAACAGAACAGGGGTAGTGGTGCCGACGAGAGCTGTGTGCTAGAGGGGACTTATGGTAGAAGTCCTGTCGGTCATCGGAGCCCTGCGACAAGCTGACGACAGCTGTGTGTTTTCGGAGTACGGCAAGGGAAGTCTGTCTCCAGTCAGCCGTGTTGTATGTTGAAATAATATCAAGGTCCAGTGAATGGGAGAAGTCGTCCTTTTCAGCTGTACGGCGCGTCCAGAATGTGAGACGCGGTAGTCCTTGGAGCTGTAGTAGTCAAGGAGAGGTCGCTACAAATAGAGAGAGAGAGCGAGTGAGGACAAATGGACGATGTGCGAATGTCAACTGTGATCAATAACTACGTCTCTGCATTTGTGTCCTGTATCCTGTTACATAAAATGTATTACGGTGTTATCGTCGTCGAGTTCTATTTCTAAGAGAGGAAGCTGAAGGGTACCTGCTAGACACCTGGTAGTATGCTGACTAGTGGTAACCCATTTATCACACAACAGGATTATCTGCCTTATTCAGTTTCAACTGCTTTTTCTCAAGAAAATGCTTCCTTCTTTCTGACACTGTGCCACATGCACCAATCTGCATTTTTTTCAGCTCTTGAAATAAAGCTGGGCTTGAATAGAAACTGTCACAGTACAGAATATGTCCTTTACATCCATGTCCGTTAAGAAGACATTCTACAAGTGTTTAAGTCATCCCAGCACAACCTTCATTATTTGCCTTACCAGTCAGTATAAATCTCTTGTTTCAAGCAATACTGAGTTTTAGCATTGGTAAGAACAAATAACTTGAATCTCCACTTTGTAGGCTTTGCTGGCAGATACTGCTTAACCCTTTCGCTGCTATGGACGTCTTTTCCCGATTTCCCGTACGCTGCTACGACTCCCAGTGCTATGGACGTCCCAAGCCGTTTTTGGACTTTTCTTACAGATTTCTGTTACCTCGTATTTTATTGGCTGAAGGGCAATATACATTAGCTATATTTAGATTAAACTGACCCATTTACATATGATTAAAAGCACTGGCACGTGCTTTTAGGTGTGTTTAAGGTGTGTTTACTGCTTTCTGCGTTATCCCGTTGCTTTGTTTACCGTGACAGCGTGGTCGGTGATCTGTGTATTTTGTGCCCTGGTATATATTTGTGCTTTTGGATTATTCTACACTTAGTACAAAATGGCAAGAAAACTTGTTAAAGTTGATGAAGAATTGATGGAGTTTCTGTCAAGAAGTGATAGAGAAGAAGACTTTGAAATGTGTACTTCTGACAGTGAACAAGAAGATTTAACTAGGCCATCTGTATCGATTGCTGAAACCGGCGTGTATAAAAAAAGCTGTTTGCCTGTCCGACCTCCTCATCGTCGGAATCAGAGAGCAGCGACAATGAAGCGCCACCAAAACGGCAATAAATTGATCAGTTGTCTCGATGAACTGATGATTTGAAACCTAGTAGTGCATAATTTTGATGACTCCAGCTCTATCTGTATTTCTGCTACTGTAAATTCAAACAGTTCAGTCACTAAAAATTCTCGTCTTTCCCGATGGACAGACACAGATTCGGACGAACTTGTTTTTTTTTTTTTTTTTTTTTTTTTTTTTTTTTTGCTGTCTGTCTGCTAATGCTTAGAACAAAGAAACTCAAAATAGAGTACTTGAGCAAAAACTGTTTGCTAAAAACTCCCTTAAAATAATGTCGAGGGACATATTTTTACTATTGTTGAGAATCTCAAACATTTCTCAGACAACAGGGCTCATGCAGGCGGCGATAGACTACAAGCTTAGACACGTTATTGATAGTCTGCGCACATCATTCATTATCATCATTCACACAGCGCAATGCGTCAAGCGGTAGCATAGTGTAGTTGGTATCACATTAGCCTTAGAATCGGAGGGTCGTGTGTTCAACCCCCAAAGTTTTTTATTTTTTTATTAATTGTAAATTTTCCTTTCAGTTCCTGCTACTTTTCAGCAACGGACGACTCAAGTATTATTATTAATATTTTTTTATTATTATTTTGGTATGTAATAACATGATGACTACAAATAACTATGATTAAAGTGGCAGCCGTGGTAGGTTCGTCAATCAAATTTTGGGATACGGACTGGGAACAGTTCTTCCCATTAATTCCCTCCCCCCCCCCCCTCTTCCCCCAGAAGGGTGATAGCTCCGTTAGTCAAGTTTGTGGGGCACCATCGTGCCTCTGACTTGTCACCACTCGGACCAACCACACAACTCCCCAGGGTAAAATCTTTTAGGTGGACAAAATATAGCCCTCACCGCCGACGCATCTTTTGCGTTTGGAGGATAGAAAAGTATTGCGCACAGCAAAGACTTTTTTTTTCACATTGCTTAGCACAGGGCAGACAACTATTTCCAGGAACGTAGCAGCGAAAGGGTTAAATATCCTGCCTTTGAACCTCACCATGATTGGATTTGATTCAAGAACCGACAACACAGCACTCGGGGCATTCCCATAAGCGCTCCGTCCCCATCTTCAGCAGCCAGCTAAGAGTTCCGATACTGACAGTGCCAGTAGCATTCTGATTAAACGTCTGTCTTGCCTTTCCTTTGAGCCTTGAGCATCTGCCAGAACCTCTCGTCACTCCCCCCTGCATCAGTCTCACCACCTCCATCTCCCTTCTTAAGCTGGATGTTGAGGTATCATATGCTAGGCTCTCCTGCACCAAACGTCGACCATTAACTTTTGCTAAGAAGCACCAAGCACTTCTTTTGCCTCTTGACACTGAACCGTCTGTGTAAATGATCAAATCCTCTAAGCGAGTCTCTGCATTCCCGGCTTAGTGTGATTAATACCCTACACAAGTCTGACTATTCACGTGGCAATTTGACCCACTCCTCTCCTCGCCTAATGTTCTCAAGGATGCAATCCTCACCATTGATTCGTCAATGGATAACTTGCGTCCAGGTATGTAGTTTTTCCTGTATGTAGGCAATATGATGTCCAGTAGGGGAACATACCCAGGCTGTCCTCTTTCCTTTCTGACATCATTATTGTTTAAATGAAGATTTCTCTGAAGCAGTTGGTATCTGTTTCAACTCATGGCCTTCGAATATGCTGTTTCATTCAACCAAAATTACAGCACATTCCCATACCAATTTGAAGGCCTATGAATGCAGACATTTAAACTGCATCAGTATTATCCCAAGTAAGTTTTTTTGTACTTGGCACTTCCAGTGTACTGAGGTGATTTTTACAATACCTGTTGACTTTACATGTGATCAGATCTATGGCAGTGTCAGGGAAAAAAATTTGAAAAAATTAATCGGCACAAACCCAGTTGTGTCTGATACAACACCTTGATGTTCTTGGTATGGAGGAAGATTTTCAATCTCAATAAGTTCATTTTCAGCAGCCTTTCTTCATTTCCAGACTAAATTTTCAGCTTTAGAAATGTTCTGGTCTCTTGTGCCAGGCCTACTTCTTTCAACAGATGTACCTACATCACCTCCCTCATCAAGTCCATCATTGTTGTTGCTACTTTCAGTTGCAATATCGTCCACTGGTACATCTCTACTTAGCCAGGAATCATCGCTTTCAGCACCACAATCACTGGCAGAGTCAGAATCGTCTCTTATTACAAGTCTGGGTTTCATCATCAGACATGATGAAAAGGCTAAATACGCACTTGACAAAAACATTTAAAACAATAAAAAATGTCACTGAAAACAATGACTGTAAAGGCTCTGAAAGATACGAATCGCAAGTACGGCTGTCTTGAAACAATAAAAATACCCGGCTGCAGTTCAGTTAAAAAACTATCGGTAGGGACGTTGTCAGCAGACTACAATTCGACGGTCATCGAAGTTGGTCACCAGGGGATATGGCTGGAAATTCGACGACCGTCGAAGTTGGTCAACAAAGGATTGTACCTTGACCACCAAGCACACATGCAACCTTTTGGCCCCTGTGACATCACAGCTGTCAGACTACTAAAATAGTTCATATTAGGTTTGTTCAATTCACTGTTATGAGCGAAATAATAATTTTTTTTTGAAAGTAAGGGAATAATTTGTTTGTTTGTTTGTTTTAGTATCCAGAAGCCTTGAGTTGTTAACCCTTAGGCTCGGTATTATGGATATCGCAACCTTTCGGCCTTGATTCCATTGTAAATACCGTAAATCTGGGAGAAAATGTGGCTTTCCTGCCTACCCCCGGGATTGAACCCGGACCACAAGGAGTACGTCACCCGGTCTCCGCGAAATCCGGTTTAGCCAATTCCGCTAGAGAGCCGGGCAAGGGAATAATTTAACTGAATACAAACATATAAAGAATTACCCGCTTTCCTCCCCTTTACCATGGTAAATGTGGTTTTGTCAACTTAGCCACATAGAAAACAGTCAGTAGGGACAGACAGCATTAAAGTTTGATAAATACTGATCAGCAGCCTTCCATCTAAGATGCTACCACACAACTGAGAAGACTTCACAAATGATTTTGACTGGTATAACTTGGAAGGAGCTTGATAACTTCTGAACTGTTTTATCAAAATTCACAGAAGCCAGACATGAAATGTGGAAAATGATCTGTGTAAACTGTTTACCTTTCTAAATAAAGTCTTCACAGTCAGTCTCATATAATTGTCCTTATCAAAGTCATCATGATCATTTTACATTTCTGCCATTAAGCGACATTGGAGAAGCAGTTTGCTGGCAAGCAACTTTTTTTCTTGCCAAAATCTTGCACTAAAATGTTGCAAATGGTCTCTCTGTTAACACCAGACTCATCTGCCTTCATTATCACAGTAAAACAACAATCTTCTTGTATCTGTTCTCTGACTTTTGCAATGAGTTCATCATTACAAACATAAATTTGGCATCCAGGTCTAGGTGCATTAGTAATCAGTTCCACACCACTTTTGAATCGTGAATACCACCTGAAAATGTGTGCACAAAATAAACAATTATCCCCATAAACTTGTCGCATCAATTCAACTGTTTCAGTATTGCTTTTTCTGAGTTTAAACAGAATTTAATGTTAGCTTTTTCTATCGTGCTGATTACGTAACAATGCACCTCTGACTAGGTCAACAAAATGGTGGCTTGTTTGTTGTCTGCTTATCGAGCTGTGATGAAAAGTTGCCAGATCATAGATGAATGTTGCCTCTTTACATTCCATGCTTTGCTTCATAGATGGCATTTTTAATCTTGGCTATAATAAAATCAGTCTCATTACTTAATTGTCGGACCTTGTACATGGTTCAGAGGTCTATGAACCCAGACAGAGAGCTACCCAGCGAGTATACAAAACTGCTGCTTCTTATATTTTCAACACCAGGTGCATCTAAAGTATCTGAACATTCTTTTTCCTCATGTTTTCAGTACCTATGCCTTATAAAGAAGGGTTTTAGAGTATGTGGTAATAGTGTTATATGATTTCATTTCAGCATTTTCCTGTGCCTTTAAGGGAGACATTCTTCTCCATGGTCAGATGTATGTTTCTCATAACTGGGTTTGTTTCTATTCTAAAATCAAGGCAAGGGGAAGATTGGTAAGCTTATGTTTTTATTGTTAAAATGTGATATGTTTATATACTATCAATTTGAGGAATAAAACAGATATAGTTTGTCATTGAGAGTAATAAAATATCCCAGTTGGTATAGGCATTCATTTATGTCTACAGATCTCCATCCTTGGCGTTCTGGATTAGTTGCATTGGTGATATTATGCATACTACTATCTTAGGCTATCCAAAACCATTCCTCTTAGTCTGCCTCTTCTGATCTTTTAAATTGTCATGATAACTTCTGTTTTCTCATCACATGACTGAAGAAAACTCTCTTTCTTATAGTTGCTTATAAAATTTCACATTAATTAGTTTTTCCAGGTAAGACTGTTAGCTGTGGGACACTTGAACATAGAAAAATTAGAAAGCTATAGGCACACAAAGAAGGCATCTGAAAGATTAACAGAGTTATATTTTTGTTTTGGCAGATCAAAAGCAGACACTTTTGATGAATGAGAAGGACTACTGTGATTGAAATCAGAGGTAGAAGATTCTGTACAGTACATGAAGAATAATAATTCCTCAAAGCCAAATGACATTTCTGTTGACAAAATTAGAACAGTTGATAAAATGGTATAGAAGTGTTGACTAAATTGTTGGCTGTATCTGCAACATTGAATAACTTGATGATTTCCTGAAATCTCATTTTCTGCCAAAGAAGCCAGGTGCAGTGGATATCATCACAATGAGTTGAGTGACTGAAATATTTTATGAGAACTATATAGACGAGAGTAAGATATAAAATTCAACCATACAGTGAGGTTGAGCAGTGAGATTCCGTTAAAAAGTAAAAGCACAAACATTGCCATATGTGTCCATATTTTAACAGAAAGAATAATCAAAATGAACAGATATTTTATTTGTGGTATATTAACTACACTTATGCATTTGAATAGGTCAACAGAATCTTGGAAAATTAAATCAAGATGGTGAAGATCTGAGAATAATAACATATATATTTTTGCAACTAGAAGCAGCCACAGTAACCAGCAACCAGATAGGAACTTTTCAACACATTTAACAGTGTAAGACTATCACCTTATATTCATTTTGTACAGTATAGGTTGGCTATTGAAGTTGATAAAACACAGAATACTGAAATATGTTGGTCACTTGAAACATCACCAAAGTTTACAGAGAACAATAATGGAGGGGTCCATGCCTGGGAAGAGAGGAAGGCCAAAGAGAAGATGGGTGCAGGATGTGGCAGATGATCTCAGATGGCGGTATTGGACATGAGACATCTTGCTTGTGATTGAGAAGTTTTCCAGAAGGTTGTTATGGGAGCAAGGTTCTGCAAAGGACATGCTGCTGACTGACAGAAAGCATTAATGAGATCCATGTGAAATATGTGAGCAGTATCTTTTACTGGGATTAATGTAAACAATTTGCATTATGCTAATGGTGTAGTTGAAAATGAAGAATAATTACAAGTCATTACTGACATAATTGTAACAAAAAGTCAAACAAAGTCTCAGTTTGAACATTAGAAAAAACTAGTAATTATAATGCACACATATTTTCTCCAGCTTGAAGTAGTAGTAGCTGATACTTTCAAGTTCTTAGGTACCATGACAACAGCAGATGGAAGGTGCATTAAGAATGTTAAATATATATTAAGATTAGCCCAAACAGAAGCACCATTTCACAGGATGAAAAATATTTGTACAGTCTATCTTGGGTGACTGAGTTCTTAACATTTATAGGGAGCCAATTCTTCTATAAGGAAGTGAATCATGGAAGGTAGGTTAGAGTTGAATCTGCAGAGTTGTGGTTTTGTAGAAGAATGATGCAAAATCAAGCAGGAAACAAGCAAAAGTGGCAGTTATTTTAGTAACAGATGTGAGAGAAAATTAAGGTCTTTGTGTACAAGAAGATACTCCGTTCCTCACCTCAGACACCAGCAGGCTTTGTGCTTGTTATATGGATCCTCATGCAAGACTCCTGCCACACATCCTCACCATGCACTATAGATAATGGCCTATATCAGCTTAAACCAAGCCGGCAGGGGATCTAGGAGTTGGTGGCCGCCAGAGATGCAGTGGCAAAAAGCCCCCCCCCCCCCCCCCCCCCCCCCCCCCCCCCCCGCCCCCCCCCCCCCCCCACCCACCCTACCCCCGCCATAAAAACTAATTTGGAATATGAGTGAAGTCCATTGGCCGATTATTTTTCTAATGACAAACTCAGATTCCAATTTTTCAAAGTCCTACTGTATGACAAACTTTTTTTTACGTCTTTGCACAGACGATACTCATACTGGATGGTTGCATAGCTTCGAATGTCTGTGCATCGAGTGCTCCTTTGTATGACAGCAAAGGTTCAGATTCCATCACTCAACGATCCTTCTTCATGATAATGTTCAAATGACCGCTACCATTGGCCACACTAATTGGAGTATAATGTTCTTACCGGGAAGCCATACCTGAGACATGCTTAACATGAATGCTGCACTCCCCCCCCCCCCCCCCCCCCCCCCCTCAAGCCCAGGGCATCCATATGAAAGCTGCCATTGTCAAAGAGAGAAGAAAAACAAACAGAAGAAGTGAGTTGCCCATTTTTGCTGTGAATAGAAGTCTAGGGTCTGCAGACTGCTCCTTTGGGATCCCTAAATGGCGCAGCCCAAAGTATGCAGAAAGCTTAATATACAGATTCAGATGTGAGGTTAAGCGGTCATGTCCAGGACTTGACGATTGATTGTGTGAACCCAGTACTAGAGCACCATGTATTGGCTTTGCATTTATGGAACTCTCTTTAGATAACAGGGAATCCCCATGCTCTATTCCTGACTTCCCTTGAGGGTTTACCAAGCTGCACGCAGCTGACCTAGATGTTGACACAACTCTAGGCACAATACCTGTGGATCAGGGGATGACCATATATATCAGGTTATGAATGTCTCATGAAACTAACGCGAACGCCAACTTAAATAACAAATGCTCGAAGACTGCATACTCAGTGCTTAGTACCATCTTTAGCTGTTCAAAAGTATAAAGCTGTAGGCACATCAGGTTTAACATTTCATTAACAAACAAACAAAAAAAAAACCGTTTTGGCTTCTTCTTTTATCTACTTCTGGAATGCCTCCCGGCATCAGGGCAGAAAGAGATCTCTGGAACGGGTCCTTCTGTTTGTTTTGTATAAAGTACTTTTCAGTGTTTCTTTTATTTCTGCTATACATAAGCTGCATGGTCGACCTCTGGATCTATTACCACTGTATCTGTATAACATTGCTCTCTGTGGTACTCTGATGCCAATCTTGTTATATGGCAAAACTATTTGATTTGTTCTCTACCTATAAATTTCAGTATTGGTTCTGTTCTGTGCCAACTCTCCTCCCGATATCATTGTTCGTAAGTCAATCTTTCTTCGTTGCACCTAGTATAGTATGTAAACATCTCTTTTCTGTCATGACTGTTTTTCTTCTGTCTTCTGAAAACAGTGTCCATGTTTAACATTGATAACATAGCACTGGTAAGAATATTTAAGAATATTTAAGATATATAAAATCCTTCGAAGCAATAAGAAAAAGGAAAGAAATTGTAGTCCAGACCAACTAATCACAGTGATAGAACGCACCCCTGTCTCACTCCAGATCTAATGTAGAACTTTTCTGACATTCCTTTATTTGTTTTAACTGTGCATTTACTGTTCATATATAAACTATTGCTTCCTAGAAGGTGTCACACTTAAACTACACTATCAGCAAATGAATTTTCCCCTTAATTGATAGAGATAACAATTAATAGTCATCATAAAGTGTCATGATTAACCCTGTCATGATCAGCAGAATTTTAGACCAGATAGGCACTTTTTTTTCTGCCAATGTGGCCAAGCCATCCAGTTATTTCTCTGGATATCTGGTTGCTTTGTTTCCTTTAGGTTCACCAGTTTGTACTACATTTTCAAGTAATAAATCTTGACTGTCTACACCTAATTTCTGTACCTAACTTATGCTTTTCATTTATTTTTTAAATCGTTGCTTCATTTGCTTTTTGGCCAGTCTGCATTTTTCTCAGAAGCCACATTTCCTCATCCATGTGGTGTTTTTCATGTTGTCTGCTTATCGTCTATGTTTTGCATGCATACACTAGTATATGTTAGTCGTGGTCAGGCCGCCTTGGAAGTTGAGTTGAATTGAGTTGAGGCAAGAATTGACATCACAGCACTCGGGGCATTCCCATGCATGCTCTGTCCTCATCTTCAGCAGCCAGTGCAGTTAAAATACTAAAGGTACCGGTCACAATCTGGTTATATGTCATTCTTGCCTTTCCTCTGAGTGTAGTGAGCCAGCCAGATGCCTCATTTTCTCCAGGCCATAATAATCTTTTATCTCTACTGATTCCGTTGCTTGTTCCCTAAGGGCCTTGACCACCTCTGCCTTGTCATGTACCAGTTCATCACCCAGTGGTGCAGATCCAGCCAATCTTCTGCCTGTTCATTACCCACCATGCCGGCATGGCCTGAAGAAAAGAGACAAAGTATGCTCACTACCCATGACCTTTTCCGTGAAGCTTGCCACTCTGCTCAAAGCATCTTTGTCTGTACCTTTCTCAGCATACTTTCAGAGTCTGTTACAATTATGGCATGTGTATGCATCTTGTTTTCTAGCCACCGGAGAGCTGCTGTTACATCCTCCCCCTCCATTCTCATGCTAGATGTTGTGGTGTCGTATGCAAGGCTGTCTTGCACTAAAGATTTGTTATTGGCTTTCGCTCCAAACCCCCAGGCACTTCTCTTTCCTCTCTACACCAAACCATCTGTATAGATAAACAGATCACCTGGACCTGAATTGTTGTGAATCAAATGTTCGATTTCCACCTGGGTAGCACCCACTGGCCATTCTCTGCAAAACCGGGCCAGTGTGATCATAACCCTACACAGGTTAGACTTTCCGCTGGTACTCTGACCCACTTCTCTCCTCATTCAATGTTCTCCAGCATGCATACTTGTCTTATTGTGTCTTCTGCTTGAGCCATCCACAATCTTCCCCTTTTCAGCCAAAGCTTCATACAGAGGGTGTTCTCTGCAGCTACTCTGAGGTATGACTTAGCTTGCAGCACCTTTAGCCTATCTGCAATAGTCAGCAATTCAAGGATGTATCACATGCACACAATCGTGGTGTCTCTCGTACATCCCAGGATCAGCAGCATAGCTTCATTCTCTATGCACTCCAGTTTCTCTAGCTCACTCTTCAAGACAGTGAGTAATCCCAATCCATAATCAGTCACTGAGATGATTAAGTGCTGGTAAAGTGTGAAAAGCAATTCTCTGCTCCATGTCCATCGCTGCCATAATCTTAAGTGCATTTAGACCTTTTTTGAGCCTTTATCACAACCTCCTCTATGTATTCCTAGAAAGACACACTTCTGTCAAAGGTGATTCCCAGATACCGGAGTCTTTTTTTTTATGTCCCTGCCATTTGTTTTGAGTCTGGGATCAGCTCTTACAATCCTGTTGTCTAAAGAACACCACAGGACAGTTACCTTTTCTGGGTTGATTACAGCACTCATCTCTGTACACCAGTCGATCACCTTATCTCATGTGGCTTGAATGTTGAATTAAGAATCGACACTCCTATAAGTGCTCAGCCCCCATCTTCAGCAGTAAGCGAAGAGTTCTGATTCCGATGGTACCAGTAACCATCTGATTGTATATCCAACTCATCCTTCCTGGCTGGCTCTGCAGCACTTGGTGGTGAATTGATGTAAGACAAGTTAGATATTGTGAGGGCCCTTTGGGAGTGAGTGAACAGTTTGGAGGCGCAGATAGATCATTATGGTCTAAGGAAAATGGCACTGAGAGGAGTTATCAGGAGATCTGGCTGATGCTCAAGACTCAGGGAAAGGATGAGACGAATATACAATCAGATGGTTACTGGTGCCATCGGAATTTTAACTCTTCGTTTGCTGCTGAAGATGGGGACGGAGCACTTAGGGAGTGTCCCGAGTGCTGTGATGTTGATTCTTAATTCAACATTCAACAAGAATGTTCTTATTTAAATAGTATTTCTTTCTTCTTAGAGATGACTGATTTCAGTTTCCTTATAGTTTAAAACCTTAAGTGGATACTTTAGTGCACTGGAGTGCTTTTATAGTTATATGTTTTTTCCCAGACTGTACTTGATTCACTGGCGCTGCCAATAAATTTATTACATTTGAGTAAAATATTAATGTTTTAATTCATTATGTTTCTGAAATTAATGCCTTTATCTTCTTTTGTGTTTGCCATTAAAGGGTTGTTCGCATATTATGTTGCAGTATACAGCTAGACTGTGATAACTGTACAGCCCATCTCATCTGATTTCAGCAGTCATAATTCATCATCATATCATCATCATATCATCATCATCATTATCATCATTAGTTTTGAACTGCCATTAAGCATTACGGGCAGGAACAGTTTGCGATCCATTGCTTGATGGGCAGCAATGGTTATTGTCATCTGTGTCTATGTAGAAGCTCTTTAATGTCATCAGTCCATCTTCTCCTAGGGTGACCTCTTGCTTTCACTTCAGATCTTTTTTTGTGTACGCCTGCGTTGGTAGTTGTTCTGGCTACATTCTTACTAAATGACCAGACCATTTGATCTTTTGTTTTTCAATGAATCTGCTGTGTGTTTTATTTTGCAGTCTGTCTGATAACATCACTCCTAACAAGGTCAGTTGTCACAGACCCAGTCTCATTCCAGCCTTCTTATATTCTGCCAATTTTTTCTGGACTTCCAATTCCATCTCCTATCCAACCTGCCTCCTTAGATAGCCATTCCAGTGCTCTACTAACAAAGCTTCCACAGGGCAGTCTGCCGCCTGTTCTTCTTCCTCTAGTCTTCCCTTTCTCACTCCAGCATAAAGATGTGAGCTGTCCAAGGAATTCTAAGCAAATTGCCATTTTCGACGTATGTTAACTGTTCACAGTATAACAAAGCATTTCTGTTTTTATGTACTGTTTTGATGTTTTGCAGATAGAAATTCCACTTGACAAGATCATAAGTATTACCCGCGAAAAATTGGCTCTCATAATTCCAAATGCTATTGGCATTCAGACAGCTGATCAGAAGGTATAGAGTTATGGAAATATGTAAATTATTTTATTTGTAAATTGTTTTTATACAAATCTTCTTCAGGGCATGTAGTGGGTCTTGAGAATGGATAAAACCCAGGAACAACAACGTAGAGCTTCAAGATTGTGAAAAACCCTGAAATAAAAAATATAAAAAAAACTAAATCCTCCATGAGGGGAAATTCAAAATGCTGTGCAGACTAGTAAAATTAGCTATCGTGGTGGTTGCTGCCACACTCTGACATGCATCTTTACATATATTGTCCTAAATGTACTAGCAGAAAAAGGGGTTTGGATTGGGGAGGGGGGGGGGGGGGGTGTGTTGCTTGTCATTTCTTGAGTGTGGCTACCAGTTTCAAATATCACTTTTTGTCACTCGGGAAAAAGTACATCTCTCTCTCTTTCTCTTTCACTCTCTTTACCTACCTTCTTCTTTCTCTTGCTGTCTGTCTCTGTCGCTTTTCTTTTCCTGGATGTTTTCCTCTGCTATGAATATCTGATCCATTGTTAATTTGTTCTATCAGAAACCCGCTTGGTAATCTCCCAATATGTCTTTGACGTATTGTTTTAGCCGGTTTAGCAGTACTGACAATAGTATTCTATAGCTTGTAGATAATAGTGATATTTCTCTATAATTTTCACACCTACACTTGTCTCCTTTATTAAAAATGGGTATTAATAAAGACACTTTCCATTCATGGAGTAATTTCTCCGTCTTCCAAATTAGTTCTATTGACAGAAAAAAAAAATGAGTGAAATATTTTGGCTGAATTAAAAGATATAACACTCTTTAATAATATAAAAAAAAACCATCATCATCATCATCTTGTGCAGCTTATTTGTCACATAGGAAGTGCAGTTCTTCATTCCCTTCTTTAATGTGCAATCTTTTGTATATTGTGTATGGAATTTAGCCCTCACTTCTGATGTTCCTCATAAAAAAATCATCCCAAGATTACACTTGGATATCCTCTCTTCTTAAGTCCACTCTTTTCTCCCATTTATTTTGCAAGGGATCCACTATGTACAGAGTAAAATGCATAAAAACCATAGTAAAGGAATATAGGTTGAAGGCAGACAAGCAAAAGGTAGATAGTATTACAAGTAACATCAAGAGACAGAAGCACATGAGTCTGAGAGTGTGTACAACCCAGACAAGAGACAGAGACTTTTGAAAATCAAATCCATTGTAGCCAACCTTCATTTTTGTGAAACCATGTGATTGATTGATTGATTGAAGCATATAAGTGACACCAGTGAATACATTAACTAAATACATATGGGATTACAAAGCCTTTATAAAATGCAAATAAATATGTATTTTAACGTTTATAGTAATGTGTAATAATGTGTACTGCATGCATAACATTGTGACAATATTCTTTAAAGTTTCCGGTAATGCACACGTTTGTCACCCCATCTAATTTGGCTTTGTGCGAAATGATTTGTGAGTATCGATTCATTTATGTTGTTGTATTTTTGTGCTTATTGGCGGTGGCTATCGTCATTGGTGGATGTGCATTCAAAGTAAGCAAAATATGACACCCTAGAACATAGGACAGCCCGTGTGAACTATGAAAGCATGCAGCCGAACGAGATGGGGTGAGAATTGCAAGTTGTACCAAGTTGTCAAATCTGCATGTGGTTTTCAGTAGTTTATATTATTATATTTACAAATGCGCCACCAGTTTGGATAGGAGGGCCAGATATCTACAGGGTTTCATTCATTCATTATACTGTTGTTTTGCTCTGTGTTCACATACAGCTGACAGTCGATTCCTCACTTCTATCCTGTGCAACCTTTGCCTGTATTGTATATAGAATCTAGTCTGGAACTTTTGGCTCTCTCATCATTGTTACAAACCTACATTATTTTGAACCTTTATATATACACTCTGGATATAATGGCCAGCTATATGCAGAGTTACAATGCTTGATCATTTTTATTCATATTTATGACAACTTTCATATGGCATGGATTAAAATTGTCTAATTTTTCGTTGCATACTTACTTTGACTTGAAAAAAATATTACTATAAGGTTACTTGTTTCTGTTTCCCTCAGTATGTTTTTGGATCTTTCATCTCAAGAGATTCCACTTACAAGAAGCTTGTCACTATTTGGAAAGTTAACCAAGAAGCGGTATGTTCTAAGTTAGACTCTTTTGGAAAGATATATAGAATAATCATGCTTAGAAATTGTTATCCATATCAACATTGGTTTGGTCCATTTGTGCTCCACCCTCCAAAGCAGCAGTGGTGAAAAATGTTTTTATGATAAAGAGACTGTGCTTTCTGCATAGTTCCATTACTCTTTGACCATTTCCATTTCTATCACTGTTTTAGCTGCATCTAGGCCCAGAAACTGTATGTATTCTTTTCTGTTATTACCCACTTTCCATTGAAGTCTCTCATTACATACAGTATGTTGTTAACCTCCACTTTCTCTATCTCTTCAGACAGTTTGTCAAAGAATTCATCTTTTTGCTCTTCTATATAGTTATTATTGCATGGTGCCTATATCTGTATGTAAATTTCTGGTTGTTCTCCTCGGTTAATTGTCAACTTTTTAATTCTGTCTGAGTGATAACTGATGTCTAGTGTGTAGTCAAATGCCATTTGAACTGTCCATTTATATCTCACTGTATTTGTTGTAGCGGTAGTAAATCCACTGCCGGCTTGCTGGGCCTGTTTCAACTTCACCAGAGCCCTGTTGGCCAGGGCATTTTGGAGTGACCCAGGATGGCCTTTATGGCTACCGTAGCACAAGGCCACACCATACTTTGCCCCGTCTTAGCAATCCCCTTTTATGTCCTGTTACCACCTCTCACTAGGGGGACATGGGGTGGGGCTTTGAGAGGTTCCGAAGTTAAGATTATTGCTGTTAAACTGAAAACTTTTTTGGAAATGGAAGAGCTCCTGCCAAGAGATTTTGGCAGTTACAGGCCATTGAAAGATACCTGTTCACATGCAGCCACTTTTGCTTTGGATGTTTATGAGGGGTTCCAGAATAGACAGCAGATGGTAGTGGCAGCACTTAATCTTGGGGATTCCTACAATAGAGTCGCATATGATATTTTCTTGTCTGTTCTCATGGAAAGCAGCTGGTTGGAAAGCAGCGGTCCTGCGTTCACATTTTGGTTGCACACCACCTTTGTACAAGGGCCTCGGAACCCTGCAGTATCGTCCTGGGACTACAAAAGGGTTTGGCAACTTCACCAATACTCTTCAGTATGTATACAAGCAGGAAAGCAGAACTTGAAACACCAGGTGTTGGGATGATATTGACATTTGTAGATGGTGTTCTTGCATATAGGCAAGGGAGCCATATGCCACAGACAGCTAATGAGCTGCAGGCAGTTGTAAACAAAGTGACTGATTGGTGTGTAGATATGGCTGTTTTATGGTGCTTTCTGGACAAAATGATTGTTAGACCTGATGTCCTAAGCCTTACAATTAATTATAGAAACATCAAAAGAGAAAGAAAACTAAAGTATCTGGGTATCACTTTTGGTAGAACCCTGTCCATCATTGATAATGTGGAGGCAGCTGGGGCAAAATGCCAAAAAGGACTTGTTCACTCAAGATGTTGACAACAGTGGACATGAAACAAAGAATGCTGTTCATTGTGTTCCAGCACTTAATCCTCTTGACTAGATTTTACTGTATCAGATAGTTAGCTGATAAAACTTGCCTGCATACACAATGAAGCCATAAGGATAATTCTCGAGTGTTCAAGAGATACCAGTAGTTTGCGTAGATTTATACTTGCACTGCCGAACTATTACAGATAGGCTCAAAGTTCTGTAAGTAAAGTCAGTAAAGTAATATCTCAGAGTAGCCACAAACAAGAAACACATCCTTGATGAAGTTGTAGACAGAATGTAACAGACTGAAAAGAGGAAGGTCTTGAATGGTGAAAACTGAAAACAGTCAGATATGTTGTATAATACTGAGCAAGGAGAGGAGTGGGTCAAAGTGTTCTAATCACACTGAGCTGGGAGTGCAGGTACTTGCCAGTGGGTACTGGAGAATCAGAAGTTCAGCTGATTCATGGCAATTCCCATCTGGGTAATGTGATTATCTGTACAGGTGGCTCTGTGTTCAGATATAAAACAAAGTGCAAGGGAGCACATATCCAAAGCGAATAGATGTTACTTAGTGCAGCAAAGCTTGGCAATATGATACCACAACATCTGGTTTCAGAAAGTTGATGGAGGCAGTTACTGCAGTCTGCTGCTGGCTTGAGAACCAACCGCATACACATGTTGTGGTTGTAACTGAGCATGTTAAGAAAGGCTGAGACATATATGATCGATGCAGATTGATATGTATTGCTTCAGACATCCTGGGTTGGCATATTTTCTCCAAGGATGCAGGTATGTTGGGAAATGAATAGGCAAGCAGACTGGCTGGTTCTGCAAAAAAGATCGGCCTATGACAGTCGGAACAATTCATAGAGATTATGGTGTGCGTATGACAACAGACAAGTAGAAAGGGGAGGCTTTTCTTCATAGGTTTATAGCTCAGACACATCATAATGATGTAGACATCAGGGATCCAGTTAGAGAGGAGTTAGCTAGCACCATAAAGAATATGCATAATGAAGACATGATGTGAGTAGAAGATATCAAACAAATTTTGAAAAAGGCAAAAGAAACTGCACCAGGGCCTGATGGGGTCAGATATGGCCACATGAAGGCTTTGAGTGATGTAGACCTGGCAGAGATAGCCGACTGTTTTAACTAGAGCATTAAGACAGCATCAGTACAGCAGGACTGGGTGCACAGCTATCTAATCCTACTACCAAAACCTTTTAAGGATCATTCAAAGCTCAATGGCTTTAGAATCATCACCTTACAAAACACATTTGGGAAGGTCTTGGAGAAGATAGTTGCTGTAAAGCTGCAAGAATTTTTGGAAGGGGGGAAGCTTCTCCCAAGAGGTCTGGGAAGCTACAGACTAGGAAAGGACACATGGGCAAATGCGGCCACTTTTGCTTTTGACGTCTATGAAGGGTTCCAGGACAGACAGGTAACTATGGCACTGGATCTCGAGGATGCTTATAACAGAGAAAGACACAACATCTTGATGACTGCACTGATGGAGAAGAAGGTCAGTCCATGCCTGATGAATTGGGTCGCAGCTGTCCTGCATTCACGTCGGGCTGCTCTCCGACTGGACTTATGGACCTCAGAACCTATCAGTTTGGCCCCAGAACTGCCATAGGGATCTGCCATCTCGTCTATGCTCTTTAACGTGTATACGAGCAAGATTGCAAGCCTAGAAGCACCAGGAGTTGGAAGGAACACTGACTTTTGCGGATGATATACTTGTGTATAGGCAGGGGGAAGAGAGGGAACAAACAGCCCGGGAGCTACCAGCGACAGTAGACAAAGTGACTCAGTGGTGTACAGAAATGAGGACTGTCGTCCACATGGAAAAGGTGTCTATTTTGTGGTGTTCTCTAATCAACAGGAAAATTAAAGCTTAAGTCCCAAGTCTCACGATAGATGGTAGAAACGTCAACAGAGAGAGCAAACCGAAGTATCTGGGAATTACATTTGACAGGAACCTGTCCTCTAAGGACCATGGGGAGAGTGTTGTGACAAGATGCCAAAAAGGACTTAGTGTACTTAAGACTATGGCTGCAATTGACATAGAGCAGAGAATGCTTTTCATACTATATCAGCACCTGATCATGTCAGTGGTTGATTATTGCCTGGGACTGCTTACCATCTCAAAGAGTCAGATGGACAAACTAGAGCACATACAGAACGCAGCTATGTGGGTCATTCTGGGTTTCGCTATAGACACCCCAGTGGTGTATATGCGATACATCTTTGGTTTGCCGACTGTTGCAGATAGGCACAAGGTGCTGCAGGCAAAGTCATATCTCAGGGTAGCTGTCGCCAACCCTGTGGGTAAATACACTTATATAGTGAATGTGTGGGGTTGAACCCTAACAGTGTCCACCCACGTGAGAAACTGGACTAATATCTAAGCTATGTTGATCCTAGATAGTCCTGGATAACCAAGAAAACAGCGAGTGGCTCGTTCCATTAAATGAAAATAGCTGTACTTGTATCCACAGGAGTAGGAGAAGGGATAGATAAATATCAAGATGAACCCAATGAAATAATATTAAGATACACAGTTAACCCATCCGACTTTCTCCTCTCCTGGTATTAATTTGTAACAAAAGCCCCCATCAAGTGATTTACATATTTGTGAGCTGAAGTAAACTAGTATGCACAAAGACACTTGAACCTAAGTACACAATTTACTCAACTAAATTATAACATGAACTAGATTTATTGAAAAAAATCACAAACCCAAAAATAAATGAACATGTTTAAGCTAGTAGAGTGAAGATAGTGTTACTGATGAAATTAATTCGTATGAAATTTATACATAACTCATAAAATTTGAGAAAATAAACCTCAAGCAGTTTTCGATTTAGGACCCTGCCTATCCTTTTCCAGTTTGTCATCCTCGCTGCTTCAAGCATGTCGTTACACACAGACGGTCAGCAAAGAATGGATGCCTACAAGTCCCTGCCCAATGTGGGAACTGTGGTTAAGAAACAAGCGCATATGTGTAGTATCTAGACCTAGACTTACACCAAACATGTCTATTCTAATAACAGCAAACATGTCTATTCTAATAAAACATTTCATCTCTTCCTCATTTTCAGTTTCACTCCTGTCCAGTCTGGAAGGACTTCATCTCACATTGTAGTTGTTACATTTTCTGCCTTCCTCTACTCACGTCCTGTAATGATAGTTGAGTCTTCTATGTCTGATGTCATCTCTCATGCAGACTTGAAATGACAATCAGTTTGACAGAACAAGTTTCTGGAATTAATGCTTAGAATAATGGGCGTGCCCAGAATGATAATAGTATTTCTGGGGCGATATCAAATAACAAATCTCAGGGATTTACTCTCCAGGATCAATCTCCGCATTAGCCTCCCGGGAGTTAAACACATTTCAGTGTGTTAGCTGTAAATAATATAGATTCAAACTAACCACACATGAAAAGACTGCCAAAATTATCTTCACATTTGTGATTTCAGAAAAATGCTAGTTCATTAAATTTAAATGGTAACAACAACATTGAAACACATGTGCATGAAAAAACATTCTTAAAATATCAATTACGATATAAAGCAATGTGACAGTGACCTAAGAGAATGGAGAAATGTCTGCTAAGGAGTACTACAAAGTGATGAAGACACACACTTGAGCAAAAAGACAGTTGAGATTTCTATCACGACAGAAATGTTGAAAATAGTTTCGCTTACCTGGAAAATGAAAACACAATGCCAAAAGTTCTGTCTCAAGCTTAGGTTTTAAGTCCAACAGATGGTGTGCTGATGGCAGAGACTCACTTCCCAGCCCTAGAGTCCACCCTTTTATAACTTTCTCTAAGCTCCTCCTATATTACTCCTAAAACCACTCTTATTCATGGATGTCGCAGCTCCTCCTCTGGTAAGTTTACTGTCAGTCAGGACTGTACAAAACTTGTTTGCATTCCCACTACTACATTCTCCTGGTCCATCAAGCTGGCCAGAGCTCATAAGCAAAGTCACACCTTCCTCCCCTACTTCAGCCTGCCAAGTTCTGCTAACACCTTCACAAGACCATGTCAATACTGGCAATCTGACCTGCACTCAAGTTAGTTAACCTAGGGGGAGATAATCACATTTAGCCTGGGTTATCTGCTCCTAAAGGTCTGGCTAGGAGATAATTACCTCACACCTCAGTTCTGCAAGCAAAATCTCCAGCCACTAAGTCTGGGCTTTCACTTTCACTGGTGCCACTTAGCATACCTGGTTATCTGTACCTTACCACTTTACATCTGAGAAAAAGTCTCAGTGTTTGATATCACCAGCAGTCCAGGAGAAATAAATAGGTTTGTTCTGGTCGCCTTACTTAGATTTAGGATATATCCAAAACCATATTTTTCTGTATACTTTAAAATACATAGAAATAAAAGTATGTTGAGGAAAGACACATTCTGAAGTCACCAAACGTGTCGTCACAGTAGCTCAGACACAGACCACCCTTTGCATGAAGCTCTGGGTGCAGTTAACGGTCAGCGGCTGATAAGAGGGAAGTCATGGATGGCTCAGGCAGAAGACACAATCAAGACAGGTTTGCATCTTTGAGAACATTAGACGAGGAGAGGAGTAGGGTCATAATCACACTGAGCCGAGAATGCAGAGACTGGCCAGCAGGTGCCACAGAGGGGGAAATTCAGCAGTTAATTCAAGATAATGCTCGCTCAGAGGATTTGATTATTTACACAGATGGTTCAGTGTCAAGAGGCAAAAGAAGTGCTTGGGGCTTTTTGGCAAAAGTTAATGGTCGACTTTTGGCCCAGCATAAGGTACCACAACATTCAGCTTAAGAATGGAGGTGGAGGTGGTCACTGCAGCTTTCCGCTAGTTAGAGAACACGACACACACACACACACACATTGTGGTTGTAACTGACTCAGAAAGCATGCTAAGAAAATCAGGATAGTCATGCTTCATGCAGAGTGGCATGCTTGACTGCGGAGGACACGGGTGAGGAGTATTGTCTGGATTTTTTCAACAAGTCACGCCAGTGTGTTGGGAAATAAACAGGCGGACAGACTGGCTGGTTCTCCACAACTTGGTGGAATATCGATGCATGATAAGGCAGACGTGGTTAGTGCCTTGTGGGAGAGCGTGTACATTTTGGAAGAGCGGATGGATCACCACAGTCTGGTGAGATAAATGCAGGGGGGAGTGAAGAGAGGTTCTGGCAGATGCTCGCGACTCAGATGATAGGCAAGACGGACGTTTAATCAGAATGCTACTGGCAGCATTAGTATCGGAACTCTTCACTGGCTGCTGAAGATGAGGACGGAGCGCTTATGGATGCCCCAAATGCTGTGATGTTGGTTCTTGAATCAAATCAGATCAAATGAACATAACATGATAGAAACGTCAGTCCATCAATGAGGTGTCTCTTGTCATAGTCCAGCAATAATCAGCAAGTATTGAAGGGCTCCAATTGCCTTCATACCTGTCTCCATAGCAGCAATTTCCTGATGCAATTGTTCACCGTGCTCATCACTGACAGCTCCACAGTTTTACATAAAGAAATCCAGAGGGGAATGAAGAAAGTGAATTTTCAGTGATGATGATTGTAGTTTATACACTTCAAAAGCTGCTCAATGTTTTTATAAGCTTTTTTCATATGAACTGCGTGACCAACTGGAATTGGTGGTAATACATTACCATTATTCAACAAAACAGCTTTAAGACTCGTCTTGGATGAATCAGTGCAAAGCCTCCACTTTTCCAGTTTGTAATAATGTTTAGGGCTACTGTTAGCCCAGAAATGTTGTGGCGTACAGAAAGGTCACCTTCTGTGGAAAGAAAAATATATATATTAAGTGGCATCTGCCGGTTCCTATGCACAGAAATTCTAACATCTTCTGCCAGAAGATAACACTGTTGCAATCTGGAACCCAAAAGCTCCGCTTTCTTTTTCAAATCTCTTACAAGATAGTTCAAGTTACTGTGGGTTATTAAGTGTGGTTTAGTGGATGTAGTTTGCTCAAAATCTGGGTCGCTTGAGGTTGGTGGTTCAAGGCCACCAATGTCCTCTTTCTCATCAGTGGAAGCAGTTGAAAATAATTCTGGAAATTTGAGTACTGGTAGGTCATCACCATGTGGTACCGAACATATTGCAGAGGGGACGTTAGGATACTCCAGAGTCCATTTCTTCTTTTTTTTTATATACCTTTCCCAATTGGAGGATCCATGCAAAAGTAACAGTTCTTGAGATGACCAGTGGGTTCTCTCCAAATCATTGGGGCTGAAAAAGACATAGCTAGCCTTTTGCATTTCTACCACAGTTTAAGATTTGCTGCACATGAATTGTAGGATATGCGTGACACCCAGCTCTTATCTCGATCTCCTATTCTGTGGCTAAAATACAAACTATGCCTTTTTAATCACTTTAGTGAGAGAAATTTACACCTCACCATATACATAACAGAAGTTATTAGCGCTGTTCACACAATCTGTAGACACTTCTAACAATGATAGTATTAATAAAGACAAAGACACTAGTTTATAATGGCAAATTTTGTCAGAGATAAAATATTTATAAACAAAAGTGTTGTAATCATAGGTAGGACTGCATCACCAACTTCTGATTAGTTTTATTGTTCATTAGAAACAAATTATGCAGCCGGCCACAACAACTGCGTCATATATTAGGCCCTAATTATGTAAACTAGTAGCATATATCTTGAAAACTAGAGGCAGTCAGCATTAGTATTAATATGCCGTTTGTTTTCAGCACCCCAGAATTAGTTAAAATCAGCTACTTTCATTTCTGGTGCATTTTGGTTGTTGACTGGTGTTGTTAAAGGGGCTGCAGAAGATGTTGAAATTTTGTTTGGTGCATACTAGACAATTCTAACTAAAATTTGCAAACCAGTCAGAGGACTGCAAATTTTTGCCTGGTTCCCTGACAGCTGAAGGGTAGAGCTGTTCTTTTCATTTGAAGTGAACTTCTGAGGAAAAAGTGATCCACACTTCTCTACCTCTTTAATTACTGTTGATTCACCCTATGTTTCTCACTTTGAGAGACTATGTAATTAGTCTTTTTTCTCCATCTCTCTCTCTTTTTAAAATCTTTGGCCTTGTCTTCAGCTGAGATGTACACTATGCTTTCTTCATTTGAGCCTTGTGCAGATCACACTGTTTTTTTGCCATAAAGTTTTCATGATGAATTATGGTGAGTCACATTAGTATATAGAGCAGTAGTTTGAGAATGTCAGCAACATATGCATGATTTCTTGATTGTTCAGGTATCAGGCAGTCTGGGCGTGGATCTGGAAATCACAGGTGGCATGCTGGGCAACTGTAACAGTGACGACACTACTGAATCTGATACCACTGAAGATGACTTGAATGCTGATGAACAGTTAGGTATCATCCTTGCAGGAAGTTCATTTAGAAGAGATGCTGAAGCAATGAAGTACTCAGAACCATCCCTAGGTATTCAGCTGGCAAAGAAGCATCAATGTAAGAAACACTTTAAATATTAGAGATACAGAAAATGGAAAGGTGACTGCATAGTATTCTCCTTTGGTAAGGGTGTGAAATACTGTTGTACACAGTAATTGCAAAGAAATAATGAGACTGATTTTATCATAGCTACAACAGAAAAAAACCATCGTTAAAGATGGTAAAACAAGTCATGCATATAGGCACAGTTCATATATGATAACGGCATGCTGCTAATTGTAAACATTAATTCTATTTCACATTCAAAAAAGTGTTCTTGAGACAGTTGAATTGATGAGATAAATTTATGAGGATCAGTGTTTAACAAATTCAACATCATATTCATCTGCTATCATCTTCACAGTCAGTCAGCGGTCTTCATATAACTGTTTGTCTGATTTTGGCAATGAGTTTATCATTACAAACAAAAACTGGACGTTCTGGGCATACTTAATATCTTCAGTCATTTCCAAACCAGTTTTGAATCATGAATTCCACCTCATGCACAAGAAAAACATTGATCCTCATAAACTTATCTTATCACTTTATCTGTCTCAGGAGCACTTTTCGGAGTTTGAAACGAATCATTGTTCACCCTTGGTTCCATATTGCATATGTAATGATGCAATTTCCACTAGCTAAACAAAAAAATGGTGTGTTATTTGTAGTCTGCTGACTGGGTTCGTTACAATTTTGCCAAATTGTAGGTGAATTATGTCTGATTTAAAGACATGCTGTGTTTCATGGATGACATATTTGTTTTGCCCATACAAATCAATTCTCATTATGTAAATGTCAAGCTGTGTATAGAAGGTAATAGCATTATGAGATGGATTGACGGGTTCTCTCATTCTTTTTTTGGTTTTTGTTTTGTATGTGCTATTCCAACAAAATTTAGATAAAAGTAAAGGGGTTAGTGATTGCATTTAGTAATTGCGTTCCCTGAAAAGTGACTGCATTTGATTTATGTGATGGACAGTTTATCATTTCTCTTGGTTTTGGACATTATTTTGAGAATTGCACCACGAAACAGGGGTCTCTGTAGCAAAGTGGTCAAGCACTCTAAAGGTTGGGGGTTCCTTTCATTGCGGCGTCGTTTAGTTCATGTGTGCAATTTCCATGGAGATACCCGGGGGATTGTCGCAGGAGCTATAGAGTTTGTGTTTTATGTGATGTTCTCGGCAGTGAGCTAGCCATTCTGCGGAGAGAGCTGGAGACATATGGGATAAAACCTGGGGTTATGAAGTTGATCCTCTCGTCTTTAATTTCTACCATGCAAGAGATTGGTCCTCACCATTAATATTCCAAAAAACAGCAGTGAGTGCACCAATCTTCATTGGGGAGATGGCACGTAATTTAGATGTAAAAGGGGTTATATCCTCCAGGATAAACAAATATCTAGCTATAAACTATACAGCAGTTTCCTGGGACATCAGCAGTGCTTTAGCAATATTTTCTCAGGCTTATTTGGGAACAAGTTCAGTTTTATTTTATGTATCCTACATCCAAGCCCATATCAACTATTGTTCCACGGTTTGGAATGGTACCTCCAAATCTAACTTAAAACGACTGTGTTCTCTACAAATTGCGCTTTACACCTAGTCTGCAAAAGAAAAGACATCGAAAATACCATCTCTATAGCCATTTAAGAATTCTTGCATTTAATAAACAATTAATTTTGAATAAAATCAAATTTATTCATAAAATTTTAGAACACTCCAGACTTCTTCGGTTGATTCAGGCCAACCCTAAGAACAGCAAATGGCTAAATTTATTGCATTTGCCGAAGCCCAGAATAGATTTATATAAAACAAGTTTGTCGTATTCTGCTCATTTATGATATCACCTCCCATTCGATCTGAAAAATACAACCAGTATGTCCTCATTTAACCACAAACATTTAAAATTCATGCTTACTAGTGATTATTTGCTACCATAGATGTAGTTATTAATTCAAATGCATTATCATCTTATATATAGATAATGTGTGTGTGTGTGATGTATACACGTACAAGTGGTGTGTGATATGGATGTATGAGTGTATGTTTGTGCTTGTGCGTGTATAAATGTTGAGCATATATGAGTCTGTGCAAGTGTATGTATTCTTGGGTGTCTGTGTATGTATGGGTAGGTGCAGATGTTTGGGTATTTATGTATGTATGTATATCTGTGCATATATGGTGGATTGAATATGTATTATTAGGGGTGCTAGTGAAGTTCTATATTTTGGGTTTTTACTTACGAAATCGTGAAGATCAAAATCTGTTCTTGAATTTAAAGAAAACGAAAATAATGTCCACAGATAAAACTGGCTGTCACCCAAAAATAACAATAAATAATGAAAAAATTGAAAATATCACAAACTTTGAATATCTAGGCTCTATAATAAACAGCAATGGAGACTGTTCAACAGAAATTAAAAGGAGGATGGCCTTGGCAATGCAAAGATTGAAAAGCCTTAAAAGTCTATGGTTAAACACCAGCAAGGAGATAAAAATTAGAATTTTGAGAGCTACATACGGATGTGAGTCATGGACTATCTCTCAGTCCTTAAGAAAGAGAATAGGGGCTTTTGAGCTGAAATGCTATAGAAAGATTCTCAGAATATCTTGGACAAAGAAGAGGAGAAATATTGACATCTTAAAAGATCTGAACATTAAGGAAGATTGGCTAATAAACAGCATCCTTTCTAGGAAGCTGAAATATTTTGGTCATATCAAGCGCCACAACGGATTGGAGAATCTATAGCAGAAGGCATGGTACCAGGAAGGAGGGGCAGAGGCCGACCGACACAAAGATGGGCACAGGATATAAGTGACTCCTTGAGTATGAAAGTATATGAGGCAGGAGAACTGGCGGGAGACCGAGTTTCTTTCAGGCAGACTGTGATGAGAGCGACGTTCTGCAATGGACCTGCTACATGATGATGATGACTTACGAAATCATGACAGCTAGATAAAGATTAAAATTACAAATCCAATGGTAACTTATTTAAACCTGTAAGTCGATTCTAAGCGGAGATATTAACATTTTAGTGGCGAATACCACCACAGAAAAATTATAGTGGAAATGCACAAAACATGGATTCCCGGAAGCGACCCAGAAAGATGAAGTGACTCAATGTTTGCATTTTACGGCCATAACTTTTTTTATTTCTAAATGAATCTCTCAGCAACCATATATTTCTAGAATCGGGACAGTGAGACCTCACCGTTTATGCATGTCTCAATTACACTTACTACGATATGCGCCTATTTAACATCTGAAAATGTCCGCAGGCTGATTATTTTTCATCAAAAACCTTATACAATAACAGTTGTCTGCCAAAGAGCCTGGCTTAATACATATCATATTGTGTGTCCTGGCAAGGCGAACATAAAGATCATATAAATGTGCCAAAGTCAGTTGACGTGACCTAATTAACAAATACTGGACCCCCCCCCCCCCACAACAGCGATGTCACCCTGGGTAGTCGTATCTCCGCACAGTAATGACACCCGGGGCGGTTGCACCCCCCCCCCCTCCCCCACAGTGATGATACCGGGGTGGCCGCACCCTCTCCCTGCTACCTTCTTCCCCTGGTATCTCTCCTCTTCTTTCTTTATTTTTCCGTTCCTTTCTTTTTCCCCATGTCTCAGTGTCGACTTTCTTTTCTTAGTCTCTTATTTTTTTTCTTCCTGTCTCCTCCTCCTGCTCCCCCTCTTTCTCAACTTTCTCTCAATCTTCTACTCCCCCTTCCCCAGCTCTCCGTTCTGTATGGTAGAAGAAAACATGAGCCCACTGGTAGTACACGGCCTGTTTTCATAATGGGTCAGTGACAGTGTTAACAACAGGGCAAACACAACAGGTGTGTTCATTTCTGGGAATCAGGTCAGGCCGGATTTTCTTTTCTTTAAAAAATGGCCTTGGCTCCCATGTCCACCCAGCATTGAATGTAAGAAATGGATCTATAGCAGCCACACGCAGACAGCCAAGCATGGAAGGGTTGCCAATGGAATTTTTGTCAAACCTGAAGCTAAGCTGACCAAAAATCCAAGCAATATATAAGAAAAAAAAAAAAAAAAACCAAAATTGATAAATAGTACATATTTTATAGTTAATTTTATAGTTACGAAATGAAATATTTACCCACTTTTATATAAGGATATGTATGTTAAAAAAAAATAAGATTCCAAAATCTTAACCCAAGTTGTTGTATAAAAACCCAGTTTTTGGGGGAAAGCCCAAGTACTGGCAGGCCTGATGGACGGGAACGTGGTCAGCGCTGCTGTTGTTTCTCGACCACTTAGATTTACCAATTCCGACAGAAAATTCTGGGGATTCTAAATAATAACAGACGCATAAAAAAAATGCTACAAGAGTTGTAGATGTTTAAAAAGTAGCTCACTTAACATTATTAATTTACTAAGTATCTGAAGTTAATTACTAAAGAATCATCTTAGAAAATGCGCAATGATGGCCGAAATTAATTATTGGGATTTAGGGGTGATCAGGAAAAAATATCTCCAACAGAAAATACGCAGAGCTCTAAATAATGACAGATGCATGAAAAAATGCTACAATGGTTGTTGAGTTTTGAAAAAATGATTAAAATAACGTTAGCTAATTTAATAATTATTTTAAGTTAATTATAAAGCGGTTAAAACGGTCTCCTAGTGCAAACATATTTGATTTAAAGCAAAAACAGTGATGCCACTAAAAAATTTTTTTTAAACATCTGCGCTAAGGTCAATCCTTGTGAAATTTCCTATACTTATAAAAAAATTAACGCAGAATTCAAAAATACACCACAAATTGCGGTAATCTAGCTAATTAAGAAGATATTTACGAAATTGCTTACTGTTATTGGATTTAAAGCGAAAACAGTGATGCCACTAAACAATGTTTTTAAACATGTGCTGTATTGCCAATCTTTGTGAAATTTCCCATACTTATATAAATATTAACACAGAATTCAAAAATACACCACAAATTGAGGTAATCTGGCTAATTAAGAAGATATTACCAAAATTACTTACCGTTAATTCACTGCGTGGTGCCAAAAAAATTAATTCATTGTATACGCGTCAAATCATCTCAGGTCGAAGCCTAGCATCTCTCCAATAACTCCTAATAATTGTTTTAGTTTGATCTTTCACGTAAAGAGCACGGAAAAATAATTTCTCAATAACGGTCAACTCAGGTGCTTTTTGGGGGACGCGATCGCGTCTCTAGTTACGGATGAAAATGTATAGCAAAATAAACAAAACAAAACGACCCATTGCTATACCTAGTATTATATATGTATGTATTATTATATGTTAGTATATATGTATGGATGTATGAAGGTATGTGTGTGTGTATGTATGTATATGTGTATGTATGTTTGTATGTATGTATGATTGTGTGTGTGTATGTAAGTATGTATGAACATATGAATGGTTGCATGTATACATGTATGTATGTATTTATGTTTATAGGTGTGTGTGTGTGTATGCATGTGTGTGGGTATGTGTGTGTTTGTATGTGTGTACATATGTATATATTTGTGTATGTATATATGTGGATGTATGTCTGTGCATGTAGCTTTAATTTATATATATATATATATATATATATATATATATATATATATATATATATATATATATATATATATATATATATATATATATATATATATATATATATATATATATATATATATATATGTAGATATGTAGATATATATGTATATATATAGAAATGTAGATATATATGTATATATATATATATATATGTAGATATATATGTATATATATATATGTATGTATGTATGTATGTATGTATGTATATATATATATATGTGGGTGTGTGTGCGTGCGGATTTATGTATGTATGTGGATGTGTGTATGTATATGCAGCTGTGTAAGAATGTGGGTGTATGTGTGTGTGTGTGTGTATTTATGTATGTATGCAAATATGCATGTGTGTAAGAATGTTGGTCTGTAGTTATATATGTTTGTATGTATGTGTGTGTGTGCGCGTGCATGCCCGCCTGCGTGTGTGTGTGTGTAAATAAAAACGTATATGTGTATGATTGTATGTGTGTGTATGCACACATGTATGCATTTACTTATAAAAGTGTATGTTTGTACATATGCACATATATGTATGTATGTGGATGTATATATATGTAGCTGTGTGAGTATTGGGTGTATGTGCGTGTGTATTTATTTATGTATGTGGATGTATGCATGTGTATATGGATGAAAGTGGTTGTATGTATGTATTTGTAGCTGTGTAAGTATGTGGGTGTATGTGTGTGTGTGTATGTATGTATGCAAGTATGCATGTGTATAAGTATGTAGGTGTGTATTTATAGATGTGTGTATGAATGTATATATGTATCTATGTGTGTATGTAAGTATTTTGTGGGTGTATATGAGTGTGTGACTGTGGGTGTGTGTGTACATTTGTATGTGTTTTTATGTGGATTTATGTATGTATATTTAGGTTTGTAAGTATGTGGGTGTATGTGTGTGTATTTATGTAAGTATGTGGGTGTATGTGTGTGGGTGAATATGTGGATGTATTTGAGTGTATATGTGATTGTGAGTGTGTGTGTATATATTATGTGTGCAAGTATTATGTATGTATGCAGGTATGTATGTGGGTGTTTGTATGTGTGATTGTATATGCATATGTATGTATTTATATATGTATATATGTCTGTCCGTCTGTGTGTGTGTGTGCGCTCATGCGTGTGCGTGTGTACATGATGTTTGTATGCATTATTACATCCTCGTCCTAGTCGTCTTTTATGCATTATTAAATAACATATATTTTTTTAATTATAAACATGACATGCATTATTGAAAACAGGCATTGGTACTCTGAAAGATAAGTGCTTAGAAGGGCGGAATGTCAGACGGGCCAGCGTGCGCAATTTGTAACCCTTTGAAAATAAAGTTTGTTCGTTAAATCGTTTAGCTTCGGCTCAGTGTCTTTTGCTTTTTGCAGTACATATTTTATATCCTCCACCCTAATGATATCCTGAAAGAAAAGTATCATTTATAGCATTAGACAGATTACCCCTAACTGAAATTCTAAGATCCCTATTATTATGATCATTTTCGGCTATTTATCTCTCCAAAAAAAGGCTTCCCCTTTCTTTTTATCTCTTGTCATTGGCATACCATTATCAGTGTATGTAATGCCTGTTGTGATAGGCCAGTCCTTCCTGTGGTGATAGGCCAATCCTTCCTTTGGTGATAGGTCAATCCTTCCTTTGCATATGTCTGTGAAGTTTTCAAAACCTAACCAGTTATTTAGGCCCTCCAGTTTTGCTCATAAAATGTTCCCACAGAATATGGAAATTTGATAAGTTGCTTTACTTTTCTCCATTCAGTGGTGTCGTGCATTGCAGTGTCTTGTCTTCATTAATGGAAGTTCCAAAGCCAGTATGTCACATGCTTTTTTAAATAGTACTCCTCCCCCCCCCCCTCCCCCCCCCCCCCCCAAAAAAAAAATTTTTTTTTTTTTTTAATACTAGCAATGTGATTCACCTTGTTTTGTTGTTTTTTTTACTATTGGTTTCTAGAGTGTCATACTGATGCCTTTCTGTCAGTGGGACAGTTTTCTTCCCTAGATTACACCCAATAATATTATTGTTGTTAATGCTTTAATGTTACTAAATTATTAATTTCTTGCTTTTATTTCCTTAGTATTCTTATTTCAAAGTTGTCTTGTTTTAACTGTTTCTATTTTTTGCTCCTCTCAACTTTTGTTTGGGTAATAAATTAATTGAGATAATAAGGAAAAATGTCAAAGTTATGTTAAACAGGTCATGTAAAGGTTTCAGCTGTGGTGTTTGTTTATGTTTTTGCATTGATAAATATTTACTGCATTACTTTTTCTTACTAACAGGCTTAAACTGCAAGTCTGCATTGAAGACATTCTGCTTGTTTTCAGTTAAATTACAAAAGTAAGTTTAAAGTTTTTTTCTAATAAATGTAATATGATATGCATGGAAGTTGTCTCATTTAACTGCTAATCTTTCAAAGCTACACAATTTTAATTTGTTTGATGTCAATTTTTCTTATTTATTTAGGGAAAAGATGAATTTATTTTATTATTTGTAAATAATATGAAATCAGATTAAAACCTGCCCAGGGATTTTATTACAAGTTAATGAAAAGTATATTAGCAGTTGTAGCAGAATAGGCAAAGCATGTGTTTTCTATCATGTAGTGAGATGATAACCCTTCTCATTTTGCAAAAAATGTGTATATCTTGTTGGCTTATAGTTTCCCCCATTAGGGTTGAGCCTAGATTTCAGATAAAAACCAACAGACGCCACCCCTCACATGAGGAGAATACAGTTCTCTCTTTAGCTGCCCTATTTATATCCTAACATCCTCATCACTTTATTGTTGCACCCACCCTGATTGATGTCTTGACCAGTGGCTTAAATGAATAATGATGTTTAACTAAATCTAGGCACAAGTAACAGGCACTGAGCTTTAAGAAAGTGAGAGGAAAACCTCCCCAAAAAAATATATAACAATTTATTTATTTATATTTTAATACATTATAGGCAGACAGAGGTTGCAGTAGCCAAAACTTGTGTTGGAAATGCCCTAGGTAGATGCCAAGGACATCCACAAATCCAAAGAAGGAATAACAGTGTTACTAGTTATGGGCTAATGATGCTGTTCACTGGCATGAAGTGAACAGAAGTACACTAGTGCAGTATTATTGTAGGCTGAAGAGAAAGTTGATCATAGTAATTTGGAGGAGTGAGGCCGTGATTAGTTGATGATCATTGCTATAAGAAAAATCCTGGACCAACACTGCATATTGGCCTCACTAAAACGTCACAGACTTTCTGCCTGACATAACTGTGAAAGTTCGACTGGTGACAATTAATGATGTTTAAGTTGAACAAGAAGTGTGGGGAGGGGGATGGATCTCTGGTCACAATTAATAAGTTGATGTACCAAACAGAACCATGACTTTTAGCTTTCACATTCTGGCAGGTTCAGATGTGATAAAAAGCCACAACTAAAACATAGTTGAAACATATTTTATAGACATTCTTCCCACACCAGGATGAGAGGGCACTAAGAAGTTACACAGAAGAAAATGTTAGGTAACCATAAAGAAGGTACACAGATGTTTAAGATAGATGAGTCATGAGCTGTATAGTTTCTGGGTATTTTCCCCCAGTATGCACTAGTGTTAGAAAATGAACCGTTGGATACATTGGCTGATTCTGCACCAATTCTTGGTGAATTTGTGCATGACAAGCTTGATGTGGGCAAGGCCTTATGGGAGCAAGTAAACAGTGCAGAGGCACAAATCGATCATTATGGTCTGGAATTGACCAGGGGATCTGATCGACACTCCACAAAGGAAAGGTAAGACGGACTTACAAGGTCTGACAATTAAGTAATGAGACTAATTCCATACAAATTAAAATTATCAACAGTTGAAGATATAACCTGTATTTTGTTCAAAGTAAGCTTCTTATGCATTGATACAGCGAGTGGCATGATGTAACAAACACTGGAACGACCACTTTAGTTCTATCGTTATGGCCCTTAAAGTCGATGTTACGGCCCTTTGAATGCCATCAATATTGTCAAAGAATCGTCCTTTCAATGGCAACTTTAATTTTGGGAATAGAAAATAGTAACAAGGAGACAAATCTGGGGAATAGGGTAAATGGTTGAGAACACGCACTTGTTTTAGGGCCAAAAATTCCTGTACAACTACTGCCCTTTCAACTGGTGCATTGTCATGAAGAAGGAAACAAATTGCTAGGTGTTGAATACAAACAGACAAGCAACTTTTTTCTTGCCCAAATCTTCCACTAAAATTTTACAAATAGTCTCTGTATTAACACCAAATTCATCTACCATCATCCTCACAGTTGAACAACGATCTTCTTGTATCCGTTCTCGGGATTTTGCAATAAGTTCCTCATTATGAACAAAAATTGATTGTCCAAATCTAGTTGCATTAGTAATCATTTCCACACACCTTTTTAATTGTAAATACCAGCTGAAGATCTGTACACGAGATAAACAGTTATCCCCATAAACTTGTTGCATCAATTCAACTGTCGCAGTGGAACTTTTTCTGAGTTTTAAGCAGAATTTAATATTAGCTTTTTTGCTCCATGCTGATTACGTAACAATGCAACTCTGACTAGGTTAAAAAAATAGCAGCTTGTTTGTTGTCTGCTTATCGGGCAGTGATGAAAAGTTGCTAGATCATAGGTACACAGATGTACCTTAAATGGATTCCATGCTTTGATTCATAGATGACATTTTTTGTGTGGCCATAATAAAATCAGTCTCATTACTTAATTGTCAGACCTTGTATAATTAAACTGCCACTGGTACCGCTTCATCGCTGGCTTCTGAAGATAAGAATGAAGCAGGTATGGGAATGTCCCAAGTGCTGTGATGTTAGTTCTTAACTCAGTACTCAACAACAGTCAACATAGAGCTGTGTATAAGTACTTATGTGTTGTGCGTGTGGAAGATTTTCCTTGTTGAGTTCATGTATTCCTGTTTTCAAAGTATAAGTAACAAAATATCTCCAAAACAGCAAAGAATACAATGGTTATGCTTATAGAGGATAGTTGTTTAGAAGTTCAAAAGAAAAGAAATTATTCTTCCTCTTTCAGTCAGCTGTTGCCAAAACATTATAAACGAGTATGAGTTCCCTGTGCTATGACTGCCACCTCCGGTACTAGCACCAAATAGTCCTCTTACTGAATGATGAAAATCACTGTCCTTTTGCAGACGAAGACCAACCTGTTCCAAACAGAATTTAAATCAGAAATGTGGTTCTGACACCAAAAATACCTGATTAAATCTTTTTCTTCCTCTTTTTCTTTGCCTTCACCAGCTGTAAACTGGTGGAAAGTTCTGGGTGTTCATGCACTCCTGACTTTTGTCGTGTTCCAGAACCTGAGTATTGCGTACAAATCAGTTTAACAGATTTGGCTTATTTTATGCAGACTCTTTGTTCCTTATCTTTCAGGCATATATACGGCAAATTATTGACACCTACGTCATACTTGTTGGGGAGGCAGGGAATATGTTCTTGTTTTCCAATGGGGACCCTGGAACCCTCATAGAGATTATTGAGTGGATAATACTCTTGACTTATGCCTACAGTGATTCATATTATTACCAGGTTCTTGAGCTATAATTTAAATACATTTTAGCACGAATAACAGACAAATAAACCACGTCTTTGTCAGAAGAAAAAAATGGAGCAAAGTGGCATAATCTTCCTGTGGTTGGGAGAAGTAGGCCCATATCTATCCACCCCCGCAAATGTGGATGGGCCCAGGCCATGTAGTGCAATACTCATGTACCTGGGTATATGGTGGTTTACAACCAAACCCTCTCCACTTCTTCATAATTGCCAGTTCCTTGGATTTTTGTTCCTTCTTACATTGACCACAAGCTGGATTTTTCCAAGCATGATCTTGGCTCCCAGATCAAGGCATCTTTAAATGGGTACCAGATGAAGTACAGGGAAGTAAAGGTGGCCAATGTGATGTTGATACTTCACCCACAGAGGACCTATAAAAGTATGAGTCTAGCCTCATACGCCCAGTGCGCCACTGGCCTGTAAAGGGACCTTTACTTTGCAAAGACAAAGAGAATTAACCTGCCCTAAACAAAACTGATGTGAATATTTCTATATTTAGGGCTTATGTTGTGGTCTGCCAGACTCTTGCTATGTGAAATTTGATTTCTTAAATTACAGCCTGCAATGTTTCATTCTAAAAATAGAGCTGATGTATTCACAACCACTCCACTGTAGTAAGGAAACAAGCATGCACCTGGAGTCGCTAGAAGTAGTTGCTATAGATATTCATATACACATCCTTTTGCAGCAGGAAATTGTGCATACCTTTCTGGAAGGACTTTGGCTGCTTAGCCTTTTGGTCACTGCTGTTGTATAAAGAATTGTTGTCCCTTGATAGATTTTGGGGCATTTCATTAAACGGAATAGAGCCTGGGACAGTGCTTAGGAGAACAGACAAGGAAATTCCTAATCAGAGGCTATGGTGGATTGTTGTGTGCCGAACTCACTTTTCAGTGGTACCAGAGGTCAGCGGTGTGATCGCCTATGCTAGTCGTGAAGGCACTAGATCAGTGTTTCCCAAACTTTTCTTAGTCACTGCGCCTTTTTTCAATTAAAAATTTTCCACAGCGGTCTAACCTAATTGAAAGTATGACTAATCATATGTAAGAGATTACAACAACATAAAAAAAAATCTTGTGTATCTTCGAATTTTGTGGCACCCCTGTGAAGAGGTCGCAGCTCCCCAGGCGCTGCGCCACACAGTTTGGGGATCACTGAACTAAATGATGATGATGACAGACGAGTGCAAACAGTCCTCGCTGCTTGACACATGAAACAAAGGTTTCTTGAGATTAACAGGTGACAGCAGTCTCTGAGCTGAAAGTTAACCCATGTCTAGTCAGTGCCTCTCGGTCATTGAGATAGTGCGGATGCATGTACAGAAGTGTGAGACCGTTATTTGTATTTGTGGGTACTATTTTATTCTATTTAAGAGTGTAGACTATTCATAAGAATTTGGTGTTTAATTCAGAATGCTCCAGTTGTGTGGAAACAAGGCAGTGAGAGCCCAGCACATTATCTGCCGAGTTAAGAGGAGATTGTCTTGCGGCAAAGATGTGTGAAGTCCTTCACTAGTCGAGCAAGCAATCATTCTACAGCAGGGCTGTGATCGTTCCTTATCTATGTTCGGCTATTGACTGTGTTGAGGAGACTCAGTGATTGGAGTCTCTAGCCAGGATTCCTTGTTATGTTCTGACTCGTGACTGTATGTCGGGAAGACTTGATGTGCTTTGGGGCAAAGTCTCTAGTCAGTTATGTATAGGTTATTGGTGACCCAAAGTGTGGGCACATAATGGCAGTGTTTCTTAA